TTTGATGCACAGCATATGAGCCAGTGCCGTCACAATGACTTAGATACAGAGCATCAACGCTGGATACCCAGTGGTGTGCCCCAGTTTAAGGTCAGTTACTTTTTCGCAGGAGGCGGCACCTGGTACATCTCGCCCCGCTGTGCGTGTGGGCTGCCCGAACCACACTTTGGAAACTGCAGGCTGTAAGAATTCAAAGATTTGTCAAGAAGTGATATGACAGGATTTACGCAGCCCTTAATCGTGATACGACAAAGGTGACGATGACGCGCCGAAGACGGTGAAACTACATCGGAGCTGATGACATGGCGCTGTTACTGACGACACCGCGCCGGATCTGTAGGTACGACGACAAAGCCGGCCACGACGGAGCCCGTGAACGGAGGAGCCCGTGCACCTGAAAAACATTCAAATGCATATGAAATTCTAAGAGTGAAAACGGGGAGCCCTAACAGAACGGCACGCTCGGCAGACAAAGCCATGGTAAACCTGCGCTCACTTTTAGTTGAACCTCGGAAATGCTTTGCCCTGACTACACCACAAATAATTTCACACCTCCAAATGATGTCTAAACGGATGGCTTAGCCCGTCCATGACATACAATGGAAAAGGTTTTGACAACCCACCATTTTTCTCACTTTGCAAACCCTGACAATATTCGGGTGAAACAAAATGTTGCAGCTTGTACCGCCGTGATAAACAGAAGATTCTCGGCCATGGTTTGTCTTGTTCTCCAGCCAGGGCCGTTCGCACCACACGAAACTCTCTACCTTAGGTTACCATTACACGTCACATGAGGCGAAATTCGTGCTGAGATAAAGCGCCTTGGTACACCCGTTTGACATAATTAGGGAGGAAAATAGAAGCACTAAATACCCCAAGCATACTCGTCGAAATCCATGACACGTGACTGGAGAAGCGAAACAATTGCATTAGATGAACTGACCTGGCCTGACATGATCTCAGCCTGAACTACTGTGACCTTAGCCTGAAATGACATGACCTTAGCCTGAGCTGACATGACTCTTCAAAATTCTAGTTGTATGGTACGATCCTAACGGGCAAGGATACGTTCGTTCGTTTCACCTAGTCACGCAGGTCTACGGTCAATATTGCTGGTATACTTGCTCTGATATTGGTTTGAAAATACTGCTTTCAGTTGATTTGGGGTCACTGAAGATTTCAATGATTTGTAAAGTAATCTGCACTGCCTATCTGCACTATCTGCACTACTCTAACTGCACTAATCTGCACTACTCGTCAAAGATGTCATATGTGTTATATCATTGCCTGGGCCCAGTTGCACGCCATAACCACCGTTTGAATCTTTTAATTAGACGATTGGATTCTTATATATCATAGACACGACGTACTGCTGGCTCCGGAACGTTAGCGGCTCCGTATTTCGGACATCAATTTCGAACGAGCCACCTGGTATGAATGCACTTTTTCTTAGTGTGCGTGTGCGACCATGTGACATTTCCTCTCAGTTAAAACTCAAAATTAATGAACCTTTTTTTCACTCATCACGCTAGTAACAATGCTGAACAATCGATTGTAGGTAAAGGCCACCGTGATGAACGCTCTGACGTCAGAGACATAGCAAGGACGTTCTTCTGGCGCAAAAACTAAATACTGGAAGCGAGGGGACAGGATGCGACAAACGAAACAGCAGAACACATAGAAGTGCATGACAGATGGCACGGTAGGACAGAAGACAGAGGACTTGGGCGGGGGAAAATCCAAGGATTGAATACAGAGGGCAGACAACAGAGGACGGAGGACAAGACGGCCAGAACGAAAAATAGAAAACAGATGAATACAAAACCCGCCCGCCCTAGCTAGCGCGCACTTTTATGTTCCTTTTTGTGTTCTATTCAAAACAAAACAGGACAGGACAGGACAGGACAGGACAGGACAGGACAGGACAAGACAAGACAAGACAAGACAAGACAAGACAAGGCAAGACAGGACAGGACAGACCCGGCCATGGCAGTCTCGGCTTTATGGAAGTTTTTCATCTTCGCCTAATGATGGGACCTCGGGGCCTCATCGAAGGACGTTGAAAACTAGCAGGCTATGGCCACGGCAGACACGGCATCGGAAGGCTCTAGTCATGCTGCATTAAATGGGTGTGATTGAATATGGGTGAACGTAATATCGGAGAGATCAGTCAGGTCATATGCATCTTATTAGAACGCCTAGCTGCCTCCTCTTATGTAAATAACTAGAATTGCTAAGACAATGCAGAGGATGGCATCATATGGGTTCGGAAAGCTTTACCAGAGGAGCCAAAATAGTGAACATCGCAAGGTGTGACCTGTGATGTCATTTTTGTCACTTGGCTTTTACAGCGCACTCATGCTGAGGCTATGTGGCGTCGCCTGCCTCCCATCCTGCCAGGAAGAGTGGGCACCACGAAGAATCCAACCATGCACCTCTGGCTACCTAGACGCGCAGCCCCACACTATCGGTTCCCATGCGATATGACATGCCAGATCAGAGCGGGAAAGGCTGTTATTGCATTAACCCACCCAGGGATACTGGGAAGCTTTCATTGCTTTAACACTGTTAAACCTCACATAGAAACACATTCAAAAAGCAAATCTGTTCACAAAAATCATAGTTCGACCTGGCTTGGCCTTGAGTGAACACACGTGACAACAGAAACCAAAACGATATCAATGCACAACAGCGATATGGATATGCGATTCAAGGGTTACAGGTCATCGCCATTGCCACTAGCTCGACATCCGCACCAGGACATAAACACTGCCATCTGGTTCGTTGGCTATTCATCCCCTCAAAGAAGTACTGTTTACATGGACCTCTCATCTGCGTCAACATAGGCAAAGTCGACCTCGCATGTCCTTGAAAGTCGATAGCTAGTGTGTTTTTGAGACAGATGGTTGCAGTGGTGCAGCTACTGTGCAGATGATAGCTGGGGGGGGGGGGGGGGGGGGGCGTCAGGGCTTTTGCGGAGATCGTGGCCGCATGAATATGTGAAAAGATGGACCTCGCCGGATTATCCACCAAGCGGCATCGAATGGTAAATATTTCTGTTAGTAGGTGTTTTGTGCCTGTCAGTCTCACAGGCTCGGATCGTGCAGTTGCCTGCATACTAACTTTGATTTTGGCTTTGGGAATTTTTGCTGGCCTCTGCTCTGACCCAAGGTCACCATGTTCTGGAAAGGATAGACTTTCGGTGAAGCTTATCTACAAACAAGCTTTTTGTAGGTTGGGGCACTTTTGGTGGCCTTTGACCTGACACAAAGACATTACCTTATGGACAGAATGGCTATCGACCATAGCACATCGATTGGTACAGGTTTCGTGCCGATCGGTTGCGTACGCTCGGAACATTGGGGCGTCTACAGACAATATTGGAGATATCAGACGTTTGTTGATGACGTTCGACCTGACCGACTGTCACCATGTTTGGAAAAGGAGAGGACTCCAACAATGGCGCATCACTAAGTGAAAGTTTGTACTGATTTGTTCCATACGCTTGGAGATAGGAAAGTTTTCAGGTCAATTTACCCACTTTTTGGAATGTTTGGTGACCTTTGACCTATCTCAAGGTCACCATGTCCTGGAAAGGACAAGCGGCATCAAATTGTAAAGGTTTCGTATTGACCGGTGCCATAGGTTCGGATGATGGAATTGTGAACAGATTTGGGCGGCTGTTTGCTCTCTCCCGTTCTTGGAGACTTACGGAAGCAAATTTGTTGCACGAACCGCAATCAAAAATGAGTAATATATACGTATGTTATTATGCCTACATGATATATATATATATATATATATCGCCGCTTTTAGTACGAATAGGTGCTAAACACCGCTCGCCTCTTAGCAATAATTCGTACTAAATATTGTCGAGGATGTGTTGGCCCAGCCTGTGGTTACCGCACTGTGTTGTTTAGAATCTATGCTTGCTAAACTCCGCCAGTTTTAGCACGAATCGATACTAAACACAGTTACCCTCTTAGCCAGCATCCGTACTAACAAGTCTTGAGGACGTGTTGAGAAGCCACGTATACTTGACGTCAGCACAGAGACTGAGATTTGGTAGCCGTAGTATGATTTTTGGCTGAAACTCTGCAACGGTTGGTAAATACTAGTAGTATGATTCCCAGCGGAGAGTACAACAATGAACTGGGTAGTCATTCCGTTTTACATCTTTATTACAATATTATATTGATCGATATTGTATTGTTTTGGAGATAAAACCCTCTAGAGACAAACAAGTGCTGCGATCTGCCTCCAAAAATAAAACCTACTAACCCACGTTTTCTATGTCCGAAACCCGCACCACATTCGTCGTAGTCAACGTGCCTAAACATTTATGTGGAATGCCCCTTTGTGAAATGTACATTTATTCGTAAACAAAGGGATATTGTGCGTAACGTTTGCATTACAGTTACAAATGAGCAATAGTTGTTCATTTATCGTTGTACTGCCGTACCTAAAAGGAGTGAAATGTGAAAATAAGGTGATAAGAGGAGGGTAGGTGCCAAGAATTTCACCGTTTCTTTACTGTGATCTTACTACTTGTTGATAAAGTTGCAGATCCGTGATGTCTAATGGGTAGGTGAAAAAGGGATGTTGGGAATAATATCCTGACTACCCTTATATATCCCAAGACTTTCCGATTTTAGATGTGGTCCACTACTCTGACCGACGGAAATTGCAAAACTTGCCAGAAGTCGTCCCATATTAAGGAAAATCTGCTACCTTGGAGTGAACTGGCGCGCTCTGCATTTACGCCTCCCGGGGTTCACTCCTCAATGTACCCATCACGGCAAACCAAGCCTGCATCCACCCTGGCAACGCCCATCTTAAAGCTGCAGAATGTGCATTCCAATTTCTCAATGCGCGTCCCATTGTGCCACAAGCCCGTTTGGGTCACCGTTTCTTATCTCCACCCTATTCTGTTGTATGTTGTACTCTTTTACACAGACTTTCTAAGCAGTTCCGGCTAGAATCCTCCGGGATAAGTCACTGGTGAATGGGTTACCCCATCTCTTTGTCGGGGGCAGACTGGAAGCGCATTTCAGCAATACTTTGTAGCTCTGGTGCAAACCAACGCCATTTCTCAGCTTAAAATGCTTCATTAAATGTGTTAAGTCGAAAAAAATCGGTTCATGCAGATATCTATGCTTAAACCACCTCGCAGAAAACGGCGTTTTCACGCAGCCGTGGCATTGGTGCCATATGATGTAGTCTCATGATGACGTCACAGCATCGCTACCCAGAATGTAGTAATGCCAGGGCTTGGGCGGCGGGACGAATCAGTTCCGTGCTGGTGTTTTTGCGTTGAGGGGGTGTCGTGTGCGGACAGCGATATCACGCTGTCGTTTTAAGCATTGTTTGTTCATGGGAGGGCGTGCTTCTGTGACTGTAAGACGAATAATGAATGATACGAAACGTGTCATTTGGAAGGATGGGACGGCTAGAACACATTATCGAAACATTGGAATGTTCTGCGTGCGTTTCTAACCTGAACTTTGTTCATACACTGATTTGCTTTTTGATAACCTCCAGCCATACACGCCCAGTTCTCCATTGACTATATTGCAGGTTTCACAGCACAAGTCTGCATTGCACAAACAAGTCATGCACCAAGACCTATTCTTTGTGGTCTTTCTCATATGTTGCTTTGGTCTAGGATGTTGTTCTTCTGGGGATAGATCACACTGGTTTCAATCATGCCTTGCAAATTGTGTGGAAAATAATTGCACAAACACCGAAGGTACGTATTTCTGTAAATCTATATTGGTGTCATTTAGTCTGATAAACTGTTGTTTGACAAGATGTAATGTTGAACTCATTTGTTTCCTGGGAGTTGGCACTTATAAGTGGAAGTGCAGTTGCACTCTTAGTCTAGGTACTAAATAATCAAGTGGTGCTGATTGTGTTCTGCACTGGGCATGTTAGTGTTCAGACTAAAAATGGTGCTAAGGTTAGTTGACAGCTAACATGAAACAAGAAACTAGGATGCACTGACATTGTGCTGAGGCATAAAATTGTGCTTGTGCTTGTGAATGATACATGCGCTGGGGTCTTTAAATGTCAATTGGGGATACAGCTGCATCCTGAGTATCTCAGAAAATGAATGTAATGCCTCACACATTGCATAGGAAGATTGGCTATGAAAATGATTTTTGCATTCCCAAGTTGTTTCATGTTGCTTTTGGCTCATTTTGGGTGTTTCAGTATCTATCTACATAGGTAGCAGGAACACCAATATGTTTTATGCTATTATACCCACATCTTGAGGTTTGCTGCCCGCTAGCCTTTCCCTTGCTCCAAATCAGCAAGTGAGCATCAGACCAGGCAGGGGCCAACCCAGCATCCAAGCATCTCAAGCCTGAGAAATGGATCCAGTGGATCATATAACTGGGTTCATCAGCAAAGAGCAATGTAGTACCAACACAAAATGAACAGCACATGTCATGCAGACATGTGCTGTTCATTATCATAGCATGCAGAGGCTGCCAGTCAGGATTCTGGTAGCATGATGGTATATTTACATCCTGGACACTCTGCTAGATGAGGTTTGGGATGCTTTTGTAGTTGTAAAGTACCTGCTTGACTGGCTGACTCAATGCTGCAGATAATTTATCTCTTCACTGTGTTGATGCCAAAAAACAGCATTTGTGATATCCAAGGCTGATAGGCTGATAGGCTGATACCCAGGACATCTCAGGGTCCAGGGTCCAGGGTGTCTCAGGGTGTGAAGTCTAGGCCTGGCAATCAGTCAAAGCCATGCTCCTTTTTGCTGTAATGATAATGCTTAGTTGGTTAGGAATTATATCAGTGCTCCCCCACTATGTCAGACAAAATGAACTGCTGTCAAGAAACTATTGAGGAAAAGGTGTGCAACTTTAAATCTAACTGTTGTAATTCTGCAGGTCCAGCAAGAGGTTTGATTTGGACCTGCTCAGATGATTGCAAGTATGAATGTATGTGGAGCACAGTGGAAACCTTTGTTGACAATGGAATGGGTGTTCCACAGTTTTATGGTAAAGTAAGTATAGAAGGTGTTTTGTCATAAAAATTGGGTTAGTGACATATGCTGTTCATTTTTAGGCTATTAGCTGACTGGCTTATACCATACCAGCTGCAGCTTTCTTGAACTGATTGGTATTGTCCCATGTTTAACCACACTGACACCATTCTGTGTTGTCTATGCACCATTGCCTGAACTGAAAACTGGAGGATTGTCAATTTCATGCATTGTAACTCTGCAATCATGCAGGAAAATGGTGTTATTATTGAGTGAACTGCAATAATGGCACCATTTCCCAGTACGCAGGTGTAGTGGTGACCATCTTTCAGTGGCCGTTCGTGCAGTGGCTAGGGCTTCAGGAGCCTGCCAGTGCCATCTTCTCTATCCTGAACCTGCTCGGCCATGTGCTGATGCTGCGTCGCTTCACGTCACTGGTACCTCGACACGCGCCGCTCTTCTGGCTCTGGATCACCTACAGCCTGGTGAGACAGCAGCGCAAACTGATGCTTCTCACGACACCTGTACCAGGTCTCTGCTAGCACTGAACATGGACACTCGTTGGCCAATGACTGCCACTTAAGCTAACATCTTTTTTACCTTTTGTTTTTTTTCGCGATCATTAGCTAATAGCTGAACGCATTTGCTATGACGACGCAACCGCTATAAGCCCAGCTACTCAGTTTTAAAAGCTCACAGCTGCCTTCTTCATCCACGTGTCGAAACAACGGCTCCGACTCTGCTTTGGCCGTTTCTCTGGTCTGTTACTCATCTGTCTGCATTCACCCCTGGACGGTCGACACAAGCGTACAGGCACCAGTAGGCCAGCGGGCCTGCTGCTGGCAGCCTTATTGGGTGTGCCAAAGATGTCCCAGCAGAAGCCAGACAGCTGGTAGCCCAGAAGGGCACTGCGTGCCCCGCTCAGCGCTGGCCGCGCTGATCAGGTGCTGCCAGGTGCTGACCGCTGACGGCGGCGTGGGATGCATCAGAGGTGGCCCGTCAATGCTAGCATGGCCAGCAGCGCTGTAGGGCGGGATACGCTGAAAGTCACGGACCATAGCGTGGTGATGGTAATTTCGTGCCGGTGCACTGATGAGCCACAGGCTCGGAATGTGATTGGAAAAGGACGAAACTTGGAGGTCCGCGCTGGCCGTGGTGAAATCCCACGCAAGCTTCTCAGGCCGGCCGGGAGCTGCTCAAAGGGGGTGTTTGTACCCCGGTGTTTGTACCGTACCCCCGGGCCCACTCGAGACGCGGCTGAACACCGTCCAGTGCGCTACGACGGGGGCGGGGTCAGCGGGGTGGTGCTTCGATCCGCAGGCTGACCGGGAGTAGCTCCTTCATCGGACGTGTGTGTGTGTGTGGGGTGGGGGGGGGGGGGGGATTTCGTCCCCCTTTTGGTGGATCCGGTGGTATAACGGTCGCTGCCAGACGACGTCAACGGGCGGCGATCTGGGCCGAAGGCTCAGCTTCATCAGTGTTGGGATTTATGCCCGTCGGGATACCAAGTCCGGCGAATGTGGCGGCCTCCGTAAAAGTGCGGTCAAATGTCAAGCAGCGTCTGGCGCCTGGTCTGAGTGCATGGCGCTGGCGTCCATTGCGACGCGACGGTCGACGCATGCTTTGATATCTGGCCGGGCGGCGCTGCCGGAAACCCGCGCATCCGGGCTACGAGTTTGAATGAACTTTGCAACTGAGGCGTGGTTACGTTTGTGAATAGTCTTCCAGCGCTACAGAGCTTCGATGATAGCTGGGTTGTGACATCCCCGTCCGTGTGGGGCGCTCTCAGCGTTTTGTCGAAGGGCTTGGTCGAGATCTGGGCTGTCTCCCGACGCCTACCATGCCTCCCCATCTGTCCCGCTCGCTGCCGTGTCCTCTCACGGAGCCCGGGAGCGCGCGCCACCCACACTCCAACAGCCGCCTGGACCGCCCCCGGGTGGGGTCTCCTGTGTTGCGAGACTGGCAGGCATGCAGGGCTGGCTAACGTCGCGTCTGCCGCCGGCTAAATTTGGCGCGGCTAGTTCTACGGCTCCGCTAATCCTGTCCTGGTCAGCTGTTGGGCAAGACTGGGCCCGATCGGTGAACGTCGGACCGGCGGATCGCCCCGGTCCACCAGCCGGCCGCCGGAACGAGCCGGTCCACGTGCCGGTTTGCACCCACCCGGCCGGCCGCGCTCCAGGTCGGGAGCCCAGCTGAGCTCTGTGACGTCACGCTGGCCCAACTCTGGTACGTGACGGCAGGGGACGCTCGGAGTGCGGGGAGGAATGGCAGAACCGGGTGAGACGGAGAGATGTGATATTTTTTTACGTGGGCGTGGCATCGGGCTGTCCTCAGCTTCCAAAAGTTACCCGATGCCGTCCTTTTGGTCGCGGTTAAGTTGTAAACAGTAAAACAGTAAATTGGTCGAAACCATTTGTGACGTTGGTAGATGGGAGAAGACTACTGACAGAACGTAGTTGGCTCGTTTGTTCTTCCCGGACGTCGCACCTTTCATTCTGTAGCATATATTCAGCGTGTTGGCCCGCCTCATGTGAGCGGTGTGCATTGCATGCGAATTTAATTTATTGATGGCCACGCACCGCAAGTACGTACCATTATCAGTCCTTTAAGCCCGTTGATGGACCAGGCACTAAGCTTCCCACTTGCCAATTCGCAGTCTTTGAATTGACGAGTAGCCGTTCCGTTTGAAGGTTCTTCTACGCGTGCCAAATCTTTGTTAGGTGTGATTGGGCGTGGTGCGGCACCACGGCGAAGTTTCTTCAACCTCGGAACCATCTCACGCCTCTGCTGCCACATCCGACACCGGACCAGCCCCCCCCCCCCCCCACCCCCACCCATGGCCCGTTGCTGCCCCCGCCTCCGCCCTCACACCGTCCCGGGCCACCGCGCACGCCATTGCAGTGCCAGTATTCCGCCGGATGGGGCATTGGCACGCGGGACAGTGCTCGGCTGCCGGCGGGCGGCAGCGTTCGGCCGTTCCAGTCAGAAGCACTGAAGCCTGGTCTGCCGCTGTCGCCGCGTCGGTGTGCAGTGGTCCACTTTGGCTTGGGTTAGTTGACGTCAGAAGGCGGGGATCACTTCTCAGTTTTGGTTCGGTGCTCGAGTTGTCGGAAGACAGCAGTGTCTTGAATTCTGAAAATTTTGGCGGAAAACCTTTCAACCGCGTTGTTTTTAACCTTACTTCAGTCTTCAGATGTTTATTTTCGTGGCGTTCGCTTTATTCCTGGATTGCATGCCAATTAGTACTATACTTGTACGGAGTGGGGTGGGGTAAGCACAAACAAAACACTTTTGCAAAAGTGAAAACTCCGATATTCCTGCGCCACCTAGCCATCTCATGGCTTTTCCTGACGTGGACAAGGCACTAGTGACCTGGAGATAAAAATGCATTTCGCGGCGTATGAGCAGTCTTTATTTGCCTCCAGTGCTTATCAGTTGTAACGCTAACAAAATGATGCTTTCACATGGCTTCCAGGTTAATGGAAATATCGGGGTCTTCCAAAAAGGAGTGCAAAATGAGGTCGAAAAAGCCCACTAAAACCCGCCTTAGGATTTTCCCATTTTCAAAATGGCTGTGCTTTGCATGGCTGGTTTTGGAAAGTTTGACGTGTTGTTCTCACATTCCCGGCACTGGCACTTTTTCACCGTCGTAAAATGGTTCAAAAATGTAATATTCGTCTATGGTGTTGTGTCATCATTTGAACTAAGACTGCTCCAAATCGACAATGTCAGTTACCGTTGTAGCGATTTTTGGTCCTCCAGAGCCTACGTAAGAACAAAAGTGATTACATTCGTTATTTCAAACCACTTAAGTGGCGATTTATGGCCACCTTTCCTTCTCCAGACATATATTTTAAGAGCACCTGAAAAGTAAATATGCCTTCTCCAACTGATGCCGATACGCACTTAACTTTTGTGTCTGCACTGTTAGTTGTCGGGTAAGAATTACATTTGAGACTGCGACATGCCTGCGCAACATTTGGAGTAAAAAATATTTGGTTTTCGTTCGGGGAACAGGGATTTATTGACTCTTATGATGCACACTGCTCGACTTCGGCATCCCGTTTAAGCATTCGAATCCGCGGATGCGGAAAAATGTCTGCGCCACAAACTTCATCACCTGTTACCGCCATGACTGTGATTGGTCGTGCAGGGAGCTGAAGAGGGATATGCAAGCTCATGTTATGGTTGTATCTCAACTTTATTCACTTCAGCCCATTGTGTGCTACTTGACAGCGCCTGGAGATGGCACCCAGACAGGTGCCCAATGAGCGTTGAAGGTTGCTGTGTTTCTTGTCACGACCAACATCTCTTGCTGCAAAATTGAGAGCCTGTAGTGGAAGCCGGAAAGGCTCGTACTGTCATACCTGGATTTTGCCGTACGTGTATGTTGATGTCAAACCAAGGATAACCTTTCGGTATATTTTAGGTGGCCGCTGTGACCATGCATAACGCTTTTTGTATCATTTTGTGTGGCCTTAGGCATGGGCGTAATAACATTTTTAGGATGGTGAAGGGGAGGGGGGGGGGGGGCGGACGGAGAAATCAGAACTGAAGAGGTTGCCAGGAATCCGAGGGGATACAGGCTGACAGAAAGTAGCAGTGAACGAAACGGATGAACACAATTCATATTAGTGTGCCTTCCTATAATTGAATGCACCCAGTTCAAACATCACATATCACGTTCAATGTAAAAATGTGCATGCAAACCAAATGATGATTTATGTGGTGTTGATAGCAGAATTGCCAAGCCATTCTTTCTATTTATTATGCAGGTGTCATGTTAAAATGACGAGCTGTTGTAGGTTGATCTAAGCCTCATCGTAGTAAGTTAAGCAGCACCCTTGATGCCCCTCTCCCCCCCCCCCCCCCCAGAAATCACATCCACGATCACCACACGGCGTTCATCATGCGGCTGTCCGAAGATTCATGTCTGTTCCCTGCTGGAAGTCATCGGCTGCTGCGAGGCGTTTTTAGTGAACCTTCCATGATTGCATACGTAAACCGCCGCCCTCAGAGGGCGGGCATGTGCCCCATGGTGTTTTGTGGGGTTACCTTTCCGGTATGTTATGCAATTGTGTCGATATATTAGATAGCCTCTGGGTAATGGTTGCACTTGTTTTGACACTTAAACACGTGCCCCTAGCATTTCTAGTATCTGAGTAGGTTTTTTAGGGACACTGCGGGGCGATCCAATGCCGGATCAGGCGGCGGCCGGCGACCGACGATTTCACGGACTTGCGCGGCAGGCCGACACGGTGACATCGACCGAGCCCTACATCATAAACGTACGCTCAAAACACAAAAACAATTACATACCATTGCTCTGATAATAAGACAATGAACACACTTGTGGAGGTTGACGTCACAATGCATGGTCCGGTGCATACGAGCGTACAAAGCCGATGAAGCTCTAACGGCAGGACAATTTAACTTTGACCTGGCCTCATGGGACTAATCTTTAACCTAGCGGCACAACTTGTTA